TCAACCGACGTATCTTCAGTGCCTCGCATGCGATAGCAGGCCTCTTTGCGATTCCGGTCAACAGCCGACAACCGGAGGAATTGGTTTACACTGATGTCGCGTTAATTCCAGGCTAGACGACCATTAAGTGGTGATTTTCAAATGGCTACGGTTACTATCAACTTCCAAAACAGTCTCAATTGGTATATTTGATTCACTTCGACCAGTTATCAATGCTGATTAAATCCGCTGAAAACCCAAGCCATTTTTATCATCTTAGCAGTTTTAATCATCAAGGGTCTTCAGCGTGTCTTACCCAAACTGCACGCTAAGCGTGCTATAATTCGCACACTTACCGTGACATATGGCACGCTACAAAAAACATAAGGTCTAACGTGTTAAATTTACCAAAACAAAGGCAAGTGTGTCCGTCTTTGTTTTTTTCAATTTAATATGCGCATATCCGTGATCTACGACACGCTAAGCGTGTCGTGCAAGCGTGTCGTGAGCGTGCTTTCAGCTTTAGCATCAAATTCCTGTGGAGGGTCACATATGTTGATTTGCCGTCCTCAGGTGAACGTGAGCATTCAAAGCAATCTTTGTCGTTTCTGTGCCCATTTTACCTTGTTTAATACTAATGTTTGAAAAGAAAAACCTTTTTTGTACTTTTTGTCGAAGGTTGGGCCGTTGGAGAAAAAGATTTCGAGAGATTTTAGGTAAACCTTGAGCCGTGGTTTTCAATGGCTTCGGCAGGAAAGAACCCGTGAGTAAAAGTAAAATGTTTATGCTCTCCTTAAATGCTTTTGAACTGTAATCCGTTTCCAGAAGCACTATTTAACTGGAAAAAGAAAAGGCGTTGATACTCGGGACCCTTGCATGACTGGGGTTAAAAGCAAGAAAGACAGGCCGGTTAACTCCTGTAAAATGTATAGGACAACAAAACCAGCTGTGTTCTGTTTGATTCGATTCAAGCCTTTTCATCTGATAAACGGTTTACTGATTTAAATCCTTCGGAGAGTAGGGAAAATTCTTCCTCGTCAATTGTGTTGTTCTCAACGCTAAAAAGAAGCAACTCTGGTATTTCTTTAAACTAAGCCATTCAGTGCAGTCTACCAGGGGCGGATATAGGGGGAGGGTGCAGGGGGTGCGCACCCCTTCCTGAGATGACCTGCGGTTTTCTAATACAACTAGTATTCTGCAAAAAAAAAAGAAGTGTGGTTTATTGGTGTTGAAGTAGAGCAAGAGACGAGTGCACCCCCTCCTAAAAAAGATCCTGGATCCGCCCCTGTCTACCTACTTCGGCGACGAGCCGAGACGGGAGCTTGCTTAAACATTTGTTTTTGCTGCTTTGGACGACGTTCTCGACCCAGACCTCACTCGTTTTCTCTCGTCGTCGTCCACAAACTCGTCCTGGCTGCTTAAGGTCCCTATTACCTTCAAGATTTACGGTCGTCCTGGTATGAGAATGTGCCATAATTCTCTCGGTGTTTCCGTTGATTAAGTTTTGCCTAATCATTTCACAATTCAAAATCAAATTAATTGTTGTTTGGCGATTTTCTCTTATCAGCCTAAAGACTGACGATTTCGCTCTTTGCATAAAATCTCTGGGACCAAAACCTTGTTCTTCGCTTGTAATTGTAAATTGTCTCGCGCACCTCCTAATACGGTGGCTGTTTCCACCATTTGAAATCTAGGGCGGTTTTTGTTTATCTCTTTGATCTCTTTGATTTTTCTTTCGTGCTCGGCTTCTTCGGGATTTTATATTTTTATTTTTGGTAAACGGCCTCCGGCGGGGCTGTGACCCCGTGCTCCGCCCCTCAATCCAGTCCCGCTGTATCTTCTCAATCAACTCCTGCTTTCTCAGTCTCGAATAGTTTCTGAGCCCGAGCCGTTTCGCTTCCTCCCTTAATTCGGGAATTTCCATGTTGTCCATTTTTTATGCAGTAGACAAAAAAAAAGCTTTTTGAAAAAAACTTTGAAGTTTTTCCTATCCGTTGTGGACAGGAAAATAAAAATTACTTTTTCCAGCTGGGAAATCCGCTGGGCACGTGCAAGTGGAGTAGTCGTAAAGGAGAGTTATAGCGCATTTTTGGAGGCGTGGTTCGTGACACAAATCTTTGACAGTTCATAACTTTGAATACGATTGACAGATAGGTGGGGCATCATTCACCTCGTCAAGGGCTATCTACTGACCAGAAATGAACCAAATAGGAGAGGATCGAATTTTGGGGGCGAATTGTCTCATGGGGCAAAAGGTTTCAGACGTAATGCCACGTGGAGTGCCACGTGGATGTGGAGTAGTTGTAAAATGAGAGTTTAGCGCATTTTGACCATGCCTGAAAGTGGTCCGGATTTTTTGGGGGATTGAACTCTCATTTTACAACTACTAACCTGATACTCAGTCATATCATTATCTCAAATCTTACTAACGTGTATAAACTAAATAACCGCATAAACTACGCTCGAGTTCATTAACTTAGATATAAAAAACAAACATCAAATACAATAATTACTCAGGCTTACCGTGCGAGATGCTACTCCTGAAAGATATCAAGTAAGGCCATTATCGCTTCAGACTTTTCAGCCCTTTTACGCATCAAGCAAGGTGAAAAACGAAAACGATGCCATCCGAAATCGGATTTCCGACTTTGACAAGTGAAGTATTTCTCAACCAAAAACCCAATAAACAAACTAGCCATGAATAACAGAAGATTTCTGATAGCCGCTGAATTTCATTTTGTATACCCAGTGGAAAAAGACAGTTAAAAACATCACAAGTTGACTCAAAACTCTCTCAGCTTCAGCTGTCAAAGTAAACAAGATTCAAGATGCTGCATAAATTTTCCGCATGAACTCACCTTTCACATTTTGACCAATCAGAGCATAAAAATTGGACGTATAGTGTGACCAGCGCGTGACCATGGTGAGCAAAGTCAAAAGCATGTCTTCCCTGCCTGTAATAGCTGGCTGAATTTTTGGTTTGAAATCAAAATTTTAATTGTCCGGCACATAAACACAACGTATTTCATATGAATTTTAAAAAAAATTAAACTTGAGCCTGCGATCGTTTGAAAACTAGTAACTTGTCAGCGAATAACTTCAAAAAAATACTTGACCTCGATGGGTCGACACCTGAGCCCACGATACGGTCAAGTGATACTGGTCAGTGGATACCCTGTTTTAACAGCTGTCAGTTGATCACAACATTGATGTCCAATATGTGTGCATTATCAGTTCTCCTGTGCTCCCAAACTAGCCAGAAAGTATGAGATTAGTCGCGATCTAGTAAAACAATTAACTGGTCAGTCGACAGCTTACAAATAAATCACGTCACCTCGATGAGTTGACACATGAGCCCGCGATATGGTCATGTGATACTGGTCAGTGGCTATCCTGTCTTGTCAGCTGTCAACTGACCATATTGTGAATGTCCAATATAAAAAGTGTGGACTTTTCAAGACACGCCTGAGATACCCCTCCCTTCCTTTTTATAGTCTCCCCTGCCCCACCCGTACAATCTGTAGACGCATACGTACGTACGCTCAGTCAATCACGTGGCAACCAAACAAAAAGAGGTTGACCATATTCTATGAGTATGGGGCTCTTTATATATGACGATTTATATATTTATATATGACGATGATGATGATGATTATTATCATGATACAGCCACAAAATGGTATGGTTTGGTATCTTAATGCTATATAATTAACAGGAAAATAATTCAATCACTAAATTTAAATAAGATTTGGCTTCATTCAACTTTGGAGCAAAATTGGGCAAAATGAAGCCTGCAAGGCATCTTTATATGTATGTTACTAAAGTATATTAAATGTTTTAACCCTTATCACCTCAACATTAGGTCGATAATTTTCCCCCAAAACGCCTTAACTCCCCTTAACTCACACAAACTCGCAATTGATAGTCAGTGTCAATTTTACCTTATTTTCCCTTAACTCGCCTAAACTCGCATTAGCTCGCACAATCTCGCGGCGAGTTAAGGTCCCAGAGTAGGCCTATGATCTAAAACATTTTTGTTCTTCTTTGAGGTGACGAGCATTTCCACGACCTGTCGTGTGGGGAGTAATTTCCTAGAGCTAGAAACATAGGAGTTCTGCTAGGATCAAAACGAAAACAATGTTACTATCTACCTATTTTTCCATGCGTCCATTTACCTGTCAGCATCCATGTCAGTATTTTTCGAATGAGAGCTAATGCAATTTATCATACACAGTTGCTGAAAATGATTCCTAATCAAAAAGTCACAACAATTTAAATAAAGTATACCTCCTTCAAGAAGAACTCTTTGTAGCTGTTAAAATTTGATGGTAGGTCCAGAGCGTCGTCTCGTATCAACCACATGAGGAAGGGAAATGTTTTACAGAAAAACCCTAAGTCTTCCTGCGATTTTCCAGCTTCAACTTGTGTTTTTGATGGCCACTCGATACTCTGAGAGAGTTTAGCGATATAGCTTGAAAACTTAGTGAAGGAAATTTAACTCCTTGTAAAGATTGAATCACTGACTTTCAAAGTTAACTGAAATATCATAGGACATGATTTTTTTCAGCCCAATGCAATGAAAATTAATTCGAAAAATGAAAAAAAAAATATAGTTTAGAGGATACTTTAATCCTTCACGATCTGTCCGTGTAGGAACACCTGTTGAGTTGTATATCAAAACCGAAGACAGTAAAACCGCCAACGTGAAAATCTGGCTGTTATCATAACCTTCAGAAGTAACAGCGTCAGTTCCCTCGGAATCAAGTAGTACCACCTTGAATTCCCTGCCCTTGTCCTATAAAATATAGAACGAATTAATTTTCATCTGGCTTTTATAGAGACTATCGTAATAATAAAAATATAATTAAAATAACACTATAATAACAATAACAATAACAATAACAATAACAATAACAATAAAGAAGAAGAAGAAGAAGATGTATGCATGGTATTTATTCAATATCATTACCACAATAAAAATTAACCTTAAATGCTCGTGGTACAATCCAAAGCCATATTCCCATTGTTTTACGTCTGATATCATGTCCAAGAGCAAATACTTCTGGCTGATTAAACACCTCGCTTAAGACAAACGACTTTCCTTTTCTGTACTGTCCGGCGATAGAAACTACACATACTGGCACTAAAAAGAAAGGGAAGGAAAACTGACTTGACTTATCTCTCCTCATGTTTTAACTAAAAAAAAAAACTTTCCCGACTGATTTCCTCGGCAAAATGAGACAAGACAGATCCGACAGAAAGAAAGACTGTTCATTTTTCGGGCACTTCAAATGTTTAATTGCGTAAGAAACGTAAAACATTGTTCACGATTAATCGAAACGATTTCGTTGTAACAGTCATTGAACCTGTAAAGAACTTGTGAATCGACAAAGAAATGATTCATCGAAAGACTCCACGGAGGGAAATCGAATGGCATTTCAACCCCTCCCTTCCTGGTGCTACTCATATTGATGAGGCACATGGGATGGTGTTTAAAGCAACTAAGAAGAAAATCGTATGTAGGAGTAGATAGCAGCAGGAGCCGGCTTCTGGTGGCAGTGATCGATGCCACCGACGAAGAACTTATCACAGTTGCCACAGGCTCGGAGAGTTTGCTTATTTATCAGCAAGATTTGAAAGTGTCCTTAACGCCAAATCATTTTTTGTGTTAGCGTGTTGGTGAACAGTTCACGCCGAACAGGAAGGCAATTTGCGTGCGCATGCATGCATCTGCTGAATGACAATATCGTGGGCACATCAAATCTGATGGGGAAAATATACGTACATTCATATAACAAGTAAGAATTCCTTCCGTTTTCCCTACTGCAGGACAATTGCAAGAACATTTTCCCTTCGTTTTCAAGGGCCCAAAATATTTAATTCCCTTAGCTCAGAAATTCAGAATGCCCCTAGTTTGTCTTGTTCAATTCTAAACTTAAGTCATTTTTTCTTGGTATAAGCATACTTAAGCTCTCCTGATTCTTGTGCGTAGTTTTTCGCTTCTTTCGCTTTTTTTTTCTCGTTTATTCTTGCATTGTTTTTCTCACATTTTCTTTATCGTTTTTGCACTTACACGTTCCGTCTTTTCTATTTTTATCCTATTTAATGATCATTTTCTATGTTCCAAACAAAAAGTGTGTACTTGAAGTTAAATTGCCGATGTAAGTATTTTAATTATTAATTAGATAACATAATTTTAAAGGTGGTTCTATACACAAGCCTTATTGGCTTCCTTGAACTCCCTTGCCTCATGTATTTTTTTAAATTTTATATGTATATTGTGTGTATGGCAGAATGATAATAATAATAATAATAATAAAAACAAACAATAGATATGAAGAATACTGCCGATCGAGGAGGGTGTTATCCACCGAGGCCCAAGTCCTCGGTGGATAACACCTTCCTCGATCGGCTTAATTCTTCATATCCTACGAAAGTCAAATTCAATTATTGTTTTATTATTTCTTCAAAATAATTCCAAGTTTAAAAACAAGCTAAAACTTGCTTACTTCGGTCGCCATAGTGCATCGCCATTTTGTTTTCACTAAAGAAAAATATAAAACGGCAAACTGATCCTTACGGCAAGGCGATGAAGAAGTAAACAAAAGAATAAAACAATATATATATAACTACTTGTATTCTGGGTAGACCGTATTTCGTAGAGCGCTCAGTTTAGTTAATTGAAGAGCATTGACTATTAATAATCACAGGAGTTTAGGCATCAGGAGTAATCATTGATCGTTTATTGCGAGAGTGCTGTTTCGTATGGTCCGAAATTGTAGGACCACACTCATCAGGCAACTTCAACGATTGACCGTTAAAATTAAAAGCTGGCGGTAAAATATAGGGATGCGTTAAAAGATAGTATCTTGGTAACAGATGGATTGTGTCTTAGTTACGTTACTCTAGAGTTCTGAAGTACATATCTGTTTCTGTGGGGGCATGAACTCGCTAGTTCGTTTCGCCTGTTTAGGCTACAAAGCTCTTTTTTACAAATGATGATGAACTTTTCATAAAGACAAAGAACTCTCAAAATATATTTGGACTTTACAAGACTCTAACAAACCTTTCCAGATAAAATGGAAAGTTTTAAAGAAATGAAAAGCCTATAACAACATTAGCAAAAAATGCAATCTTTGTCTTTATGAAAAGTTCATAAAGTTCAGTTTGGAAGTTTTAATTAACAGGTAAAGCTTTGTCTTTTTGACTTGAATAGTTATCGATAAAACCGGTGAAAACGTTTTTTGTTTACAAATGCAAATTAAGCTTAAGTCTTACGTTACTTTATTTAGTTGACTTGTTCATAAATAAGCTTAAAACTAAATTTAATAATCTTTTTTACAGAATTATTTTGAATACAAACAGAATTCACAACTCCTTTTGAAGAAACTTCCCAGCAAGAGCTAAACAAACGCCTTCAAAAATTTTATTTGTCGCTAAGAAAAAGCGACGACCGCGGCCGTTCGTTCATCGCACGTCAAAATTGTAATCGTTCGCAACAGTACATGAGTTAAAAAGCATCATTTTGTGCTCAGTTATCTCACTGTTTTAGTATATACTAAAACAATTATTCACCTCAGTGTCGGTGGCTAGTATGGGTATTTACCTCGCCGCTTCGCGGCCTCGGTAAATATCCAACCAATACTAGCCACCTCCACTTCGGTGAATAATTGTTATTTATTCAACTTCACTCAGTAGAGTACAAATAACGCTAAAAATGAGTACAGATATTTTACGGTATTTGTTCTTCAGAAGACCGGTTTGACCGGTTTTAATCTACAAACGTCGTACATGGCAGAAAATGTATGGTTTTCCGAAGAAAAAAACGGAATAGGAGCCAACTTGTAGGCTTAAATAAGATTAAACCGAGTTTAGAGTAAAGTTGCCTGAACAACAATGAAATATGGACATTAATTAAAACTAGATAGAACATACAAACTTTATAAGTTCAAGACACAACAGAGAAGATGAAAACGGACCTGTGTACGATGAGATGGCCGTGATGGCCAAAACCCGGTTAAGAAACAAAGTCCATTAATCTTTTTTTTTTTCTTACGGTATAACCCAGCGAAGATAAGGTCTCAACAATTCAGTTCTTTGTTTACGAGTATAGCTCCTTGAAACTCCTTGAATTTGTGGAAGAGTTTTTCACTTTCCATAGCAATTTGCTCTGTTCAGTTTTCTCACTTACAGCACCATCTTAAGCCTCGCTATTATTTGTCGTTCCATGTCTGATTTCCTAGCAAATGTTACAAAGATAGATCCTCGATCGCGAAGTACCGACAAAAACTTGAAAAAAATTGATTTAGAAAGTAAACTAGTTTGACAAGTTTTCGTTTTTGACCAATCAACCTTTACATAATTTTCAACTTCAACGCGCTTTTTTCTTGATCTGTTTATGTTCCATCGTCGCTATTCGAAATGCCGACCACAAAATTCTTCATGGTATAATCGCATAATTTGTCAAACAGTAGAAAACACGTCATTTGTTGAGAGGCTGTCATGCATATTGCACGTGCTTACGAAAGGTTACCAAGGTTACAAATCCAATTTCGGATTTCACGTTCCTTTCGACCTCGAAATCCGGCAAATCTAGGATCAAATCCGTTTTTGGATTCGCCGAAAGGAACACACCCTATACTTAGTCCTATTTTATACTCCTCGAATTGAATAATAAATCTCTTATGGGACGGTTTAGTATGTAGTATCGTGGGATATTTTTACTTGTATCTTGTATTTTGCCCTCGCCCTACGGGCTCCCCCAAATACAGCGTGACTCGTAAAAATATCCCACTAGTACTCACTAAACCGTCCAATGAGATATACAAATTCACCGCGCTAGGCGGTGAATATATAAAGCTTAAAGCAAAACAAAATCGCTGTCGTGAACTGGGTGTTTTGCCAAGTTTCAGAGCAAAAACGTTTTGAAAAAAAAAAAAGAAGAATATCCCAGTATTGATGATTTCGAAGCTAAGGAAAGACTTCATGGTATTTAAACGGCGTGGTTTATTGTGAACTGATTTACTGTAGTTGCCTTTCATATATACTCTCGAATCAATGTTTCTAACACTTCAGAGGAAAACAAGGCCGCTTTGTCACTGTTTTGTGAACTCGGGATTTCCTCGCAAGACCAATTTTGTCTAGAAACAGAAGTTAATGTATGGAGAAAAAAAGGAAAGCAAATATTTTCGAAAACTGTACGTGTCAGCAAGTTAACATGGCAAAAAACACTGCAGGTAAACACGCTCACCTCGATCGTAGCTGCTGTTAACAGCATTTGCAAGAAGAGACAAAAAAATGTTCTCATTCACAGTGAGTTGACAGAAGCAAATAAAGCTCTGTGTTTCTTCTCAGAGAGAGGGAGATTTTTTTAATTTTAGCGGGTAGATTTTCTTGGTTTTTAAAAGACTGTGATACTTAACACCAAAGTTACTGTTCCTGAATGCGTACGATTTCTATATGGCTTGATTTCCAACTCATGGTTTACTTATCAAGGAAGAAATGTATGGTAGCAAAAATTAAGCTGCTTTAAAAAAGACAAAAAATGGTTTAATAGGCAAGGTTTATTTATTAACGTGCTGTTTAAACTGATCGCGGAGGCACACGTTGCCATAAATCAATGCTTTTATAGTTTTTGAAAAGTTTACGTGGAAAAGTATAAAAAATACTATTCTACAGGAAATGAAGAATGCATTGTCTAAGACAACTAATTTGCAACTTGTCTAATTGCAAGTGATCATATACTACGTACTTTGAACATTTCATGAGATCACTCTATGCAGATAATAATACAAAAAACGAAAAATACTTTTATAATTATTTTAACACTAAAAGATTCAGAGATTTCCTATAATAAGCTACTACTTTAAAGCGACTCTTGAATGACAGCTCACGTGTCCGCTCTCATTTTTCATTTTTATTTAATAGCAGGAGTGATGCATGAAAACAGAGAGTGGCCATTACTCCATAAATCTATCTGACGATGTTTGTTTCGCCTGTGAACAGGCCTTTGGTCGAGCGGGGAACTAGGGAGAGGGAAAAGCGAAAAGGCCTGTAGACAAACATTTGTGACCGCCGTTCCACGGCACCAGATGGCTGTGCATCAGATCCTGATGCAAGTTCTTATTGGCCAGAACACTGACTGTTGACTCGTACAGGTCCGATTGACATCGGCTTCTTGGTCGGCACGTTGCACGCGATTTGATCACAAAGTGGCAATAACAAAATACTTTAAAGACTGTTACGCTTGTTCAAAAGCTATTACCAATGGAGGAACTATACGCTCCAGTCAAAAGACTCGCTCTATCTTTAGACAAACACTAAGCTGGAGTTTATCGAGTCACAATGCAATTCTCCATAGTTGATGTAGCTTCGGTTTAAGCTGCACTTTGGATCTGTAAATTACTATCCGTGATAATTTTTAAACATTCTGCAAAGAAAACTAACGAGCTGGGCCCAGCGTAATACAGCATTTTAGAAAAACATTACATTCACGGGCTGAAGAAAATCGCTTAGTTATTCAGAACCAGAAGGCACTTTGGAAAAAAGTAAGACCCTTATTCAGCCGCAACAAAACGCTTTTCGCTTCAAAAGAGGTCAAACAAAATGCTCTTGGATCAGAGGGCAAATCCTGCCGACCAGAGGCAAAAACCACAGTAAATCGATACGTGTGCCATGACCTCTCAGTGTGAAACAAGCGGCTAAAATCACATCTGTTCAGTGAAAATGTAGAACCTTCCAGAGCATAATCTACCCAGCAGACGAAAAAACTTATGGGAACAAGCAGCATTTTGGCATGAGGTAAACGTCGCGTAGTTCGCGTAGGCCTACCGCCCCCTTTTATTGCTGTAAATGCGGGATTAATACCCAAAGGTGTAATTTCTGTCGGCGATCGAAGCGCTGCTGATCTCTTTGTACTTGTCTTTGGAGCTTCACGTTCTGGAGTAGTCATGATAGTATCTTTAACCTTCGCATTCCAAGTTAGCTCATTGCAGGGGCATGTTAAAGTAGAAACTGAACTAGGAAGACGAACGGCCCGTCGCGTACAAGTTAAGCAGCTTAAATCGGAAAAGCTTTCTCCTTACATACATACATACGTACATAAACTTTATTAAAGTGTCAAGGTATTTAGCTAAAAGCTAATTGTGGACACTATAAATAAATAAAATGAATATAATATAAGATTAAATCAAGTATATGTAAAAATATTAAAAATATATTCTGGATATATCATTAATATATAAAAATAACATCAATATATAAAATTATTACAGACAAACAGTAGCACAAGCAGGGAACAAACAAAGACAAACAAATAGGTAGACAAAACAGACAATCAGATAGACAGACAAACAAACAGACAATATAGGACAAACATATAAGCAGCAGTAAAATATAGATACAAAATTCAGGAAGTTAAAAGTCTAGAAAATTTAAATTAGACGAATTAAATAGAGGATAGGGGAGTACACTCTCAATACACCAGGCAGCCACACAGCAGAAGCCACTATGCATACCCACCACCCTAAGATGAGCATGCACAGCAGCCACACGTGCCGTCCAGCAAGCCAAGCACATTGAGAGCACGCACCCCTCTCCTGAATGCCTGAAGACTGGTCTTACTGCGTAGTTCCTGGCTTATCTTGCCCCATATGTGTTGGCCTAAATATCTGATACTGTGCTTTCCATACTTAACAGTATTATATCTTGGAACAGGAAAATCACTTCTTTCCTTGCTCAAGGGGAAATCTTGAGGATTCAAATGCTTGCGCTAGTACAACGCTTTCTTGGCCACTGTCAACCAGCAAGGTCTCATTTCTTAAAACGCCAATGACCGGCACCGTATTTATTCTCTTACCGGAGATCAACGACTTTATGCAAAATCCATTTCACTTTGTTTCCAGACGGAGCAAAACACGGTTCATTTCCCATTAATTTTCCCAGGAGTTACTCTCGCGCGAAATTGATTGACAGATAACGATCTTGCCGGCTAACAGATGATCGGCAGGATAATTACAAGAGGGCGGAATAGCGGTCTCAAATGTTTGTCTACAGGCTCTCTCCCCCCCTTTCCCTTCCCTTTCCTTGCTATTTTTTCCCAAACAGAGAGCCTGTTCACACGCTAATGTTTGTTCACGTTCAAAGCCTGTTAACCTTAAAATAGGAAGTTTGTGAGAGAGGTGCATATAACGCCGTTACCTCACAGAGGTAAGAATGAGTTGGGATGCGACAATAAACATGACACAAATAGATAGGTGAATTTGTCTGTTACTTATGTTTCTGTTGAGAGTATTTTACTGTATTCAGATGAACCCTTTATGTAATTATAATTTGAACATAGAACCCTACGGGAAAAAATTATCAAGCAAATATCGATAAAAACAAGAACGTGATTCAATACAGGGGATAAGTTTGTCTTAATAAACAATGAATGAAATGTTTCACAAATTAGCATATCAACAAATGTAGAATCCACAAAATGGCATTATTTAGGAATAAATGCAATTGTTTTTTAAACAAATGCGTTGATTTATTTCAAAGTGATTAGTAACGTTTTATTTCGTGCTATAGGGGAGTTAGGCTAGATTTTCTTTAAAACGCCCAAATCTTACAGTTATTTGCATAATGAAATGTAGACAAACAGTGTACCAACAAAATGAGGTGGAAAAAAATCAGAATTCAAACCGATTGCTGTAATTCGTTTCCTCTGTAAAAATAAATGATAGAGTTAATTATTTTCAAAACACAATCTTACTGGCATATCATAAAATGAAATTAAAATTTATAGTTGAGGTGTATGTATATTATTTCTCAAACGAGAAAGTACTGGTGAAGAAAGCAAAAGTACTGCATAAGGCGATTTATCACAGCCTTCATCAAACCATTCGTGGAAGTGTTCTTGGTTTCGTTAATCTTTAACTTGATGTGGGGAGAAAGACGACAAGCCAGTAAAAGACGACAAGCCAGTAAAAGGGTGAAAAGTGCAGTTTCACGGAAAAAAAATGGACACTTAATTAACCCTTGAGTATTACCTGAAGCAATTAAGTTCAATTTTAGAGTTTTTCTGTTCAGAAGAATTAAATGCATACAGGATAATTGTTTAATGAAAAATGATCGTACCGACCTTCCCGTATTTGGTCGTAACACCAACTGCAGCTATCTTGTTTTTGATGTACTGCTATACGTACGAACTGCTATACGTACGTGTACGAAAGAAACGATTGTCCTCTCAAGAGCAACCGCGAGGCCACATAAAAATCACTTTTATGTAGAAAAAACTCAATACCATAAAGATCACTTTTGTCAAACTTAGTTCCCAGTATACTTCATTCATCTCCAGAAAACAGGCTGCAAATGCTGGTAGAGAACGGAAAAAAATATTCGCAGAGAATGCTTCTGTGGGACGTCTTCTGACCATATTTACGCATGCGCACCTCCAGCAAAAACATTTGTAAGCTTCAACTTATCCGTCAAAAACTTCTCATAAATACTGTTACAAATTAGGTTTACATACATGAAATTAACGCTAAATTTTCGAAAACAATGTGCGGCTAACTTTATTTTACGTGAATTTGCTGCAATACAAACTTCTCAACATAGACATCGCGAAAGGAAAAAAAAGCAGCATTCCCAGTTATTGTTATCTCATTGTTACAAAGACTGAAGAAGTTACGCTATCCCCTTGGAGAAACGGATCAATACAAAGACCAGTCGAAAGACATTTTGAACTCAATTCTTAAAGAATAACTGCCAGATAGTGACTCCGAGGTATGGAGAACTATGAGCCGCCGAGGTTTTGTTATGAAATAAAGGTGCTGTAAAACAACAATGATGTAATGGTGTGATTTAAACGAACTCTTCTCCCGGAGTAAGTTATAAACTAACATTGACGTAAATTAAGATGCATCAAATTAACGCAAGTTTGAAAAAAATCGCGTTAATAAAGTGCATCGTTCATTTCCTATAAGTTAAATCATATATGCAACAAATTTCATTAATTAGATAATTAAAGTATTACCTCTTATCATCTCCATTTTAAAATCACTGGTGATCCCTGCAATCTGATTGGCTCTCAGCAGAGTGATAATTATTCACGAATCGCACTATTTTCTTTTCTAAATGACGTCTGTTCGAAATTGCGTCTTTCTGTTCTAAATCGCATCACTTTTGTTCTAAATTACAACGTTTTTGCTCTATAGTCGCATCAGAATGAGATGAAACGGCCCTTTTGCTTCCACTTTTCAACAAACCAACGACTAGATCAATATAATTTGGTACCGGCTGAATATGGCTGCAATAAAGTGGTAATTGAACTTCGTGTCGTGCAATTTTGGTCTGAAATGTTACTTGTGATTTTAAATCGAACTCGCACTTCGCACTCGTCTGATTTTAAAATCATGCATATGATTTCAGACCAAATTGCACTTTACTCAGTTCAATTACCATTATCAATCATCCCAATTGACAAATAGGAAGTTTTAATCAATGATATTGTACCACTGATTTACCTTTTATTTTCCTGAGTTGTTCAAGGGCCTCTTCCACTACATACAGGTATCCACGTTCCTCTTCTGATGAAACGCTCAGACCTGTCTCAGAATCCCAAGTGCAATTGTTTGGTAGGCACAGAGGTATTGCCTAAGAAGACAAAAATAATAAGTAACCCTGTCTTAAAAATAGACTGCTTACTAAAACGATTCTAAATAGCGCATAAGTTCCTTCTTGAATGCCCCAATGTTTGTTATCTTAGTGAGCCTTTCGGGTAAGGCGTTCCACAGCGAAACGGCCCGATAATGAAAGGTCCTTTGGTCTAAGGCAGTTCTGTAGCCGGGAATGTCTATCTTCTGTTTGTTGCGCGTGTCTCTTTTGTGAATTTCGGACCTCGTTTAAATTTTTAGCCACATAGTCTGGAGCCAATCCCCTTAAGTACTTGAAAAGCCAATATGCCACCCGGCAGACAAGCATGGATGAGACAGGCAGCTATTTTAGTTCTCTACGAACAGAAGTGATGAGATCAAATGTAAACGGACGGGTTATGATCCTCGCAGCGAAGTTTTGAACATGCAGTAATTTGTTGATATTCTTGTTCGTTGTACTAGACAAAACAGAGGAACAGTGGTAGCGTTTGCTAAAGACTAGAGCATTTATAACATTTAATAGATTGTTTGTGTCTAAAAGAGGTTTTACCCTATTAATTTGACATAAACTCGACAAACAAGAAGATGAAATACATTTTATGTGGTCATCAAAACTTAATGTAGCACCCATATGCGCTCCAAGGTCCTTTGCCGAGGGAACCAGGCGCAACTCTTTCCCCAATGAAGTAACATGTAAATCCAGATCTGCGGACACATTTTCCAGCATTTCACGGGTTGCCAATTAAGAGAAATGTCGTTTTATCGGGGTTGATTAGAAGGCTATTCTGCCAGCACCAACGAGGCAACTTTCTTCAGGTCTTCGGTTATTTGTCGAGCTGCTCTGTCGATATCCTTGACTGGGAATAATAGATGTAATTTGGAATCATCTACGTGGCAAGGAGCAATAATCTGGGATGCCAGGCAAATCGTTGATGTACACATTAAATAAGGCCGGTCCCAGAATAGATCTCTGTGGAAGTCAGTGTGTAGGTTTACGCATTCCGGACATTTCAGAGCCAATTCGTACGTACTGCTGGCGACCATGTATGGAGCTCTTAAACCATTCTAGTGCTGAACCAGAAACCCCCAACTCAACCTCTCTAGTTTCCTTGACAACACTGGTTTTTAATTTTTGTTGCTAAAATAACATCAATTAAAAACGGTAATTGCGTCGTAACTCAGGTTGGTGAAGTTACTAGCTGATTAAGCTTCAAGGTGTCACACAAATCCTTCAGGGTGTTTCCTTCACGGCAGCTCTTTAACAGCTCACAGCTTAAATCACCAAGAACTTGTAGGTCTTTTAATACCTTCGTTTTGAAGGAAGGACGTGTGTATATACATACACCGCCACCAATCTTCTTCTGTCTATCCAGTCTGGAAATTTTGTAGCCTTGGATCTCTACCTCGGCGTTCTTCACTGAAGAATTAAGCCAGGATTCAGAAACCGCTAAGACATCAAGTTCATTTTCTTGAACTAGTGATCTTAGCTAAACTAGATGATTCCTGGTCTCCAAAGATCGCACGTTCAGATGACCAATTCTGACTTTTGATTTTCGAAGCTTGCTTGTCGGAGTTTAGCTTGATGTTTCATTGCTGACAGCTACGGTATTCTCTTCACTGCTATTAGCGACGTTGTTTTCTTCGGTTGAATAGACATCAATTCCAACTGTACGTTCTTCGGTTGAATGAACATCGATTCTTGAATAATTATTCAACGAAATATTTCATAAGTTCTTCGAATCTATTCCAGAAACCCAGCTCCGTCATTGCTTTGCACTTGTGGCATTTGAAATACCTCCTTTAAAATATAGTGTAAACATGATTCTTGATATATGAACATCAACAATAAACAAATGTGTATATGTTTATGTATTTCGAGGAAAAGAAGAGAACGATTATAAGCAGAGTTTGAAAATGTTCCAATACCGAGGACTTTTGAGGGAACCGTGTAAACTGGTATGCAAAATGCGGTATTTGCCATCTTAGTTCGATCAGGGTATTTTAATTTTGAGCTATTTTGTGAAAGGGCAAGTTAGAGTTTCAAGCTGGTCTAGGTAGGGGGCAAAAAATACAATGAGAAAATATACAATAAACATGTTCCGGCAAAATTTTACGAAAATGACTAAGACTGTGGCTAAGGAACTAGGAATACGATGCGCGAAAGTAAACGTTCAAGGTATGTACAAGTCGTTAAGCCAGTGACACGCGGTTTAACCAGGGGGTGGGTAGATGCAACCCCGCGCCGTTATAAATACCTGAGTGCAGGGGCGTGGTTGCAACGAAGAAGTACATAAGGGGAGACTGGCCCACGCTAGGGATCCTGTCGAAGAGTTCTTTCCGCAACAAACTTTTTCTTTCGATTCTTCACTTTGCCCATTTTGAGAACAATTCTGTGGCTACTTGGTTAAAGGGCTTAAGTACTTTAGCTGAGTACATTGTCTATAATTATTACATGGTTGCGCCGAGGAAAATTGACAGTGTGCAGGTGACCAGTGGCCGTAAAGCAAGGTTGACAGTGGGTCATGTACCAGAAGTAAAAAAGTACCAATATATTACAATGACCAAATAAAACTGTTTGTTAAATCGTAGAGATAAATGCCATGGTGGACTATCAACAAAACATGTTAAAAATTCCGAGAAGATTAGACAGAGATCTAGCATTCGTGTTAGGTGCTGGTTAATTTGTACAGCGCGCGAGTCACGCTGATGTAGGAGGTGACACGCCTCTTCTCCTTTTCTTCCATCGCGCTCGCGGGCGCGTCCTCCAAAAAGACCGGCGCCCGCTACGCAGGCTGGCACAAAATGGTAGATTTCATTATTTCTTTTACTTGATGATGCAGCGAGCAAACCATGCAATGTATTAGGGTTGTTAATTCAGCTTCTAACAAAGGCAGCCAAAAAATGGCGAATTTCTGTGGTGCATGACTTCCTAATCATTGTGCCCTATATTCGCCTTTTCGGTTATGACGCATGTTAAAGGTATTTCTCGAACGGTGGCTTCCCAATAGCGAAGAAGGCTTGCTAGGTTTCTGTCTCCTTTTTATCTTTCTCGTTTTTGCTGACTTGTCTACTTCCAGAGCGGGCATGAAGAAACAAGAGGATCAAGCGAACTTCAAGTGAAAGTAATCCATGGACTCAGTTTGATTAAGTTCGGTAATCGAATCGTCCAATTTACAACCATGTTTGTTCTTGGTGAATCTTAACTTAGGGAAAAAACTACTACTTTTTATAAGGGTCCTTTCCATCATAAGGGTAAATTAGAACTCAGTTGCCTGTTACCTGTTTGATAGTGCGTACTCTACATACTGCAAACCATATTTCAAACAATTTACTGCGATTAGTACACGGATAGTTAAGCATTCATTGGTACATTCATGGAAAACATTCAGGACACACCTGTCAAGCAGGCGAGAAGGAAGCTCTGTCACCGAAATTTGCTAAGATTAATTAATTCATGTGTTAGAGGAGGTAGAAGGCTGTCCAGCAAAACCTGTGATTTCTGCGATTTGTAATGGTAACAGGACTGAGTGGAGTCCAGTTCGGTCTGTAATCGTACAAGTGATTAACATAATCGAAAATCAGACGACCGCGTAGCGGGAGTCAGATTTGTTTAATCATGAGTATGATTACAGACCGAATCGGACGACACGAAGTTCTGTTACCAATAAATTAATCACAACTTTAACAAAATTTGTGATACATAGGACTCTTTTTTTAAAATCAAAACACAAGAAATTCGAAGACCTTTTTATTTACCAGCAGTGAAGTGCGTGATAGCGCGTACTGTCCAATTCCTTAGGCATGACGCGTGCTGTCCTAATATAAAGATCAAGCCAGGGCTAAAAGCGAAGTTCCCGTTAATAAATTTATAATCTAAATCAAACAATAGACTTGCAATCACAAATCAGTTTACTTTAAGGCACATTCAGGCGCGGATCAACATCGGTTTCAACCATTTACGGAAATCGGTCAGATTTATCTTAAAAGATATATTTTAACAAAAAAAAAATTGCAAGTTGAAAAATGAGAGATGAAATAATCCCTTATATGTAAGGCTTCATTCGGGGTGAATGGATCTGGCCAATATCCTGTCTAAATGACTCAGTAACTCAAGAAAGAGGACTTTAGGGGGTTAAATATCTTGTCCACGGAAGTACTTTGCTCATTTTTGGACTAAGAAGGCGAATATTTCTGGTCAGTTGCGCGGACCATGCTTCTTTGTAACATAGGATGTAAGCTCTCCGATCCTGTAATTGGGTCGTTTAGCGCGCGGGAAGCTCGAAAAAATTCCCTAGCCAGCTTGTTCAGTTCGTGGAATATCTTGCCTTAATCCTGTAGGGTATGTGGGTTCCAAATTCCCCGCTGTAATTTTGATTTCTCTCGCTTCGGTGCATCTTTCAAAATGGCAATAACAGTTCACCGTCTGTAGCTTCACATTGATCCGCCATCTTCAATGTTGCAAAACTAAACCCCAGGTCGCGCTCGGTCAAAATGAAGTTATGGTCCGGTCCGTGTAAGAGGTAGGCAAGCAATTTTTAATCAATTAATTTCAATTAAATCAAGCGTTCTGATTAGCCGAAATCCCAAAATCGCCGAAAAAACAATGAGAAACGCGACAAAAACAACTTTTTCAGTGTCTAGTACGTAGGCACTATGTGAGAGTGTAGAAAATTCGTCTAAATACTTCATATAATCTCAACTGATGACGTAACAACCATATTAATCCTTTAAGCTATACATTAAAGGTGGGAGGGGTGGGGGGCTGGGGTGGGGATGTCAAAGCGGTAGCAGAAATATGTTTGGAATGTGTAACCATTTAGGAATACTTGGAATGTCCGAGAATTCTCCCAACGCCTCAAGTGTTTATATCAGGCTATGCAAACACAGGAAAAAAGTTTTATAAAATAACTTTCCCGAGAAAAAAAACACAAAACTCTTTGTATGGCACTGATTAAAAGAGAAATTCTTACCAGTCGCAAAATCTTGTCCATGAAGTCTTGCACGCGAAGTCAGTTCTTGTTTTGCAAAAAGATGCTTTGCAAAAAACGGATTTTGCTTAAAATGTCAGCTTAAGCGAAGAAAAATTGACATACCTTCTTTGTAACGATTTTTCAAGTTTCAGCCGACGAGGGAATGGGTAAATAAAGTAAACTTTTTGAGTTTTGAACTCGAAAACTTTTTCAAATTTGTGCTTGCGTGATTAGCGCGCGAAAAGCCAAACAACTTGACGTCACAACCATGTTTTTACATACTCTCATGCAAACACTCCTCTCGGCCAATCAGAGCGCGCGTACTATCTCAGTTATTTTGTAATAGGTCATATTATACCTCACGGCCAAGTTTCAGCATTTTCTATGCGCCAATTAAAAGTTAGAGCGGAAAACGTGCAACACACACGCGACCTTTTTGTGACCCCATCTTCGTTATGTTACTGGAAATTTGTCTTTTACCGGACGAAATCTCATCAATCTTTTTATTATTTATTAAATTATTAATTTTATTTTTTATCTTTTTTATCTTTTTCAATTCGCTGCTCACTCGTCAAAATGTTCTCCACCCGATATTTCTATCTGAAGCGTAATTAGGTAGACGACGGGACCCGGTATTATAAACATGAATATTATCACTTCTATTTCAAAAGACAGTTAGATATTACTTACATGTATAACTACTACTGACGCGAATTTCTATCCTTGGACCAGGGTCCGCATTGGAGCAAAAAAGAGAAAAAAAGTCGGCGAGCGAAGCGAGCCGAGAGGTAGTCTGGGGAGGGAAAAGGGCGGCGTAGCCCCTAAACATGGTTAGCGTTAGATAACATCGAGTGAAGCCAGATTGGACACCTTATGAATTTTACACAACGCATTATTTCCATAATGGAAGGAGACTGGAAAGTAGAATGAGGCTAGAAAAGCTGAAGAAACCAAAACTACAGAGCGCCAGTTATGGAGAGAAGACAGTAGAGAGTTAAGCACTGATCTGCAGTGATTAGGGTTAAGCACTGAACTGAAAACGGTTAGCTTTCAAATGCTGTAATGGGGTACGGCATATATAAGAACATGTATATTTTAAAAATTATAGGATTTGGCAGCTAGTCCTCGATGGTGTAGTGGATATGGATGTAGGCTATAAAGCAAGTGACCCGGGTTCAAAACATTACAGTGGATTTTTTCTGTTTCATTTTATATTACATAGTAAAGTTGGACTCAAGTTGTTCTTCATGTAATTTTACTGAAAGAAACAATCTGACTTCATCCGATGTTACCTAATGCTAACCTGTAAACATGCCTTGGATGCCGCTGATCCGCCCTTTATCAATTAACTTGTAATTGAAATGTCAACACGTCAAGTTCACGGATGTCAGCGTAACCTTATTATGTCGCTTTTGTAAAGAAATATTTGAATTCGAGATGAAGTAATAGTGCAGGCAAAGAGATCTACTTAACTTCGATCGCCAACTGGAGTAACACACCAGCTTCGGCGAAGAGAAATAAGGAGGTTTCAGAGGAAAATGCGCCGCGTGCGACCGGGGAAGAACAGTCGAATAGATTCTCAAGCCGAGATCCCTCAAGTTCGCAGTTCACGTCATAATACTCGTTGACATAGCTTCTTATAATGTACGAGACGAAATATTGCTATTGGTAGAGTTTATACCTTATGCGGCAGACTATTCAGTTTGAGTGTATTCCTGTTGAATTTGTTGTCCCTTTTATAAGGTATGTCTGCTCAAAATCGTGTAAAAATAGGTGATGTAAATGTGAAATGTGAAATGTGACCGTAATTTATCACAGGAGAGTATAAGAAAAGCTCCATATTTTGAATGCTTCTTTTTGATTTTGCAACAGATCACAGGCATATGTTTTTGCTCTCGTTGGAGCCGAAGGATAAGCGAAAAGAGTTAAGCAGCAGCTGCTTGCAAGTAACAAAAACGGAGAAACCGGGAAATAAAAGGTATTGGAAATACCTACACTGGACGAAATCTTCACAACAGTTGCCATCATTTTCTGTTATCACTGTTTGAGGGAAACTGTCCACAAGCAAGATAAAGAAAAAAAGACGAAGAGGAGACGAATCGTAGCGTTTGTATATTGGAAAATGCCTAAACTGGCACATATCCTCAAAAGTCTGTAGGCAAGTTTGTAGTTTTTCATTTCTTTTCATGTATAAAACGAATATGCCAAGTCAAAATGTAGAAAGAACATCAGTGAAACATCGCTGATGGATCCTGCGCCACTTTTTTGTTCTTACCAAACAGTGATGTCATCTGTGATCTATTGCTGATGATGATGGTGACGATGATGAAGATGATGGTAAAGAAGATGTTAATAGGAAATAACGATGATGATAATGATATTGATGATGATGATAGCGATGATACTGATAGCAATGATACTGGTGATGATGATGATGATGATGATAACGTAACCCTTGGAATACCAGAGACGCAAAAAAGTCGGAGCATGGCATGGAAGAACTTCATGCCTTTTTACAACTCACACCGTTCTGTTAACTTACCTTCTTACGTTCTGCCTCCATTCTTTTTCTTTCTTCTTCCTCTCTCTAAAATTAAAATGGGATTTGCATGAACTTTCTGAGCGCGAAATATAATGTAGCAGCCAGATATGTAAATTACATATATGAGTATCGCAAAATGAATGCTTCGTTCACTGTGAAGAGTCATTGCAGGGGTGGAAGAAACGAGGTCGGGGACCGAGAAACTATGTTCTCACAACTTGAAAAGCGGTCACCCTGAGTGGTGGTCAGCGAATAATTGCCATATTTTTCCCACAGTAAAGATGTTTATAAGCTAGAAGCGAACGGCAGTGGAAATCAGACATGATTAAAAAATTGAAGTTTTTTCTTACGGAGGTTATTTACACCAAATTTTAAGTTCCTAGGGTTGAATGTTCTGTAGCTAGTCTAGATCGTGCGAAAACCGGCTTTTATCAATTTCAAAGTTTTTTGTTTATTGTTGTCATAGTAGTCTCGATTTCACTAAAACCTACATTTTGACAAATTTCAATTTATAGTCAATCACTGGTGAAAATTTTATAGCGATCAGACAAGGATAAATAAATCACTTTTAAAGTGATTGAAAAATATCGGTATGGCCTCTGAAAACCGTCGAAACACCTTATATTGGTATACCAAATGAAACCTGTCTGCGCATAGTACTATTAAGTGTTTGGTCCGATGATCGCCTAGTGCGTGAATCTCGAGTAAAAGCTTTTTACCTCTGCATATGTATTCATATAATGTAGATCACTCCAAGGAAAATGAATTAGTCTTGACATCTTTTGTTACATCACTTATTACTTCGGCGGAGCGCGAAGTAAAGGATTCGCGACGCTCAGCAATGTATCAAAGTTGCCTTTTTTTGACAAGATTGGGCACGCAAAGTCTGTAGGTTTTCGGTTTTATTCGGCTATTTGACGAATTGACAGCCGAATTAGTTGGAGACATTTCGAGATCACTTCGATTTTTTCATCTTTTCTTTAACTTTTTCGAGGAAGAAAGAACTATTATGTTGGCTTTCCCGGGGTTTGAACCGACTCACCTGTGTGAGTCGTCGGATCAGAGGAGACTCTAAGTTGAGGGATTAGCCGATTGCGCCACTGCCACCCAGGGTAGTTCGAAATATGAAAAGTAGTTATGAAATGATGCACTAGTTTCGGGACAAGATTGGGCGAGCAAGTTCGTGACTTTTAGGCTTGTTTCGGCTATTTCACGAAATGAGACGGGACTACTTCGTGATATCTTGAGATCACTTCGAGTTTAGTCTTTAATTTACTCAAGGAATAAATACAGGATATTACGTGGCAACGCAGAGACACGAAATTTCTCTTCTAGTGTTGAAAAACATTTCACGAGTAAGACCTCCTTTCGAACTGTTTTATGATGAATTTAAAGTTACAAAACGCTGCACAAACTCATTTTGTCTTTGTTGAGTGTTACGTAGTAAAATTGCTTTCATGCGTTGCGTGACGTTCTCGAACGTTCTCTACCTTTTTGGATTATTCATGAATAATTAATTGGTGCATGTTTACATTTCAGCATGAGTCAGCAGATTTGCACCCGTTACTGAAATCATAAAATATGTCGAAAAGCTGCTACTGTTCGCCTGTTTAGTATTTTCTAGAACCTTATGTTAAACGGTATACAAGTTCCAAGCGAGTTCTTTTGACGAACTAAGTAAGCTGGACTGCTGTGTTTAGTCAAGTGTGACGAAGGTCGAATTTCAAGTTCTGTGTTTAGAAGTTGGCGGAAGCCGTAAGATACCTGAAGTTCAAGTGAGAGTTTTGTTATTATTGGCAGAGGCTGTTTAGTTTTACTTAAGTTCAAGTCAAGTTTGCGTTGGCGGATGCTGTGTTTTAAAGCTTTGTAAAGGCTATGTTTCTTTGGTATTAAACTTCCTTGAGTTAATCCGACATCCCTGCGTGCTGATAGTCAGTGAATAATTATCCTCAAAACATTCGAACTCGTAACATGGACTAAGAAAAATAGACAATTCATTTTTCACTGTTTGTTTTGTTAGACTTGTTATTCACCGCCAGCAACCTCATATTTGACCTAGGTCTAAACGTTTAGACCCAAGTCAAATTTAGAAGGACTTGTATGGGGTCATTAGAGCATAACTGGGCTAGTATTTCAGAGACAATTTGTCCCGAAATGCTAGTTTTTGGCAAGTAGGCCTATTGGATATTGCTCTTTTCAGAATGTCCTGACAAATCCCATAATTTCACAAATTAACACCTTACTCTTACCATATTTCATTTCTTACTATTCCTCCGCATTTACAATTAATCAGTTCCACAACTACGAAGCCGAAGTGTACGCTCCGTAGCGTCTTGTTTGTTTATAAACAAATTGTCGGTAAAAACCGAACCGCGGCGGTAAATCATGAATTCCCCTTTGCGGTAATTTTCATTTTCCGTTCGAAAACCGAATGCTTGTTAACACGGACGCAGAAACCTAAAAAAATGCAGATTGTTTAAAGCACTAATTGAAATACCGTTCGTAATGCTTTCCTCCCTCCATGGATTGTCTGATTACCTGGAAGCTTCGAGAATCCCGTCTTAAAGTTTTCTTAAAGGGAGCATATTCTTAAGGTAAGTAAATTTGGTTAGGTATCACTGATTGTATGCATGTGATTAAATGGAGTGCACCTGAGTATAACCTTTTTTTCTTTGGACTGTCATGAAAGTCTGTTGAGTGTTGAGACCTACCCGATTCATTTTTCGTTCCTGAGAAAACTGTGGGTAATTAGCGTAATAGGGATTATGCAAATGCCGAAATGGAAAGTGGAACTGCCTTCTACTGATGTCTTAGTAAACTCTCAAAGACCTGACAGCGGCACAACGGCACTGAATTCAGGAAGTAGCACCCCTGTCAACTAAAACTCATTACGACATTAGACACCGTTTTCTGCTGAAGAAACTTCAGACACTTTGCTGTGAACATAAAAGCAATAGGTTGAATAGACAAAACAACAACTCTGCACGTGCAGCACGCTTTTTTGTACATTGCTTTGCTGTCACTTCACGACTACGACGAGAAAATGCCTGATCTCAAATTTCTTTCTCTTCCCGAACTTGAATATGGTCAGTCTTAGGAATTTGGCTCAAAAAGAGTTCGCTTGCATTTGACAAAGTAAATGAGTTGGAGTTATCGGGATAGAGATTGAAACAACGCAAATTCACTATTTAAGCGACGTTTTCGTGGCCGTCGCCGTCGCTGTCGTGTATCTTAAACTCCCTAATATTGTAATTAAAACACGAACCTTTGCCGAGTCATTATTAGTGCGTGACTTGCGGCGGCTTAAAAAATTTCGTAGCGAAATAATATACCCATTCCTTTGTCGTGATCCTTGTCCTAACAGTATATATTCCATGTATTTGTAAACGATTACTTAGGAAAAGTGAAATATCTAAAAGTTAAGAGAACATCTGCGACTTTAGATCGTGTAATGGAAATAAATACATAAAGATGTCTTAGAAGAATTGTTTTTCTCACCTCGCTGGTATAGTCTGGGTAATGTAGCTCCACAGTATAAAAACCAATACGTTAAAAAAGAGTAAAGAAGTCGAAAAGGAAACACAGCGCGCGGCGATGAAAAGATTTGTCTGCAAATTGGAAGCCACTGACGTAGTGCGAAATTTCACACGAAAACGTCCTCCCAAACAGAGCTGCGAAACGCACTGCGCATGAACGAATTAAAAAAATTCCGTAATGGTCTATTTTTATTCTCGTTCCCAGAGTTCCTTGCGCAGCCAAAGTGATTCTGGCGTCGTGGCAATATTCCAGTGCATGAGTTTCCACTAGGCATTACAACCTCGTTCCCAGGGTTCTCTCCTACCCGCCCTACGGAGCGAGAGAGAGAGAGAGAGAGAGAGACCCTGGAAAACGCTGCTCACGTGTCTCCCAGAATCTGGGAGATTACAAACAAACGATTTGGGGGAGGGGCAGGTAAGCGTGAAATTTGTCTCTACGGAGCGTAGACAGGTCAGTGCAGCCATGAAACTGTGTACCTGGCCTGATCTTGAACGCCGAAAATAATGCACAAAATCCTTTGACAGCGAAAGCGTAACTTCCTGCAGAATATCTGGAGGCTAATCGGATGTTTATCAGCGATGCTTTCATTTTGCACATGCAACGGAAATCGCGGAGGATTCACCGTTTGTGCAGTCAAAAATAATTTAGGTATCCTGGTAGTAGAATTCATACCGAAACGCATTAGATTTGAATTGCCGTTTCTATGTTGTGGAGGCCACTTTAGAAAACAAATACAGTATCTGTATGTGTTTTAAAGACTACTATTATGTAGGTCATGTTGTCTGTTTTGTCTCTGTTTATACTATTTTCTGTTGTCTTCCATGTCGCGTTGGTATATAATTATTTTTATCTTTGATCCATTTACCACTTTCATAACAAAGGTTAGGGGGTGGAAAATGCTGACATTTTAGGCTATAGCTTTCCGTGAAGTCACTTATCGAATCGTAAATGTACTATATGCATTTCTTGCTGTCAATGTAACTGCGATGTTTTGTCCCGGGGATTTGTCACGCCGAACCGCTAACACCGCAAATGGTGTAGGTTTATCTGACTAGCCGCTGTCAGACAAACATTGAAACTTTTAATATAGAAGTTCAACGCACAGGGATTCTACCTTCAAAATATTAACTCGCTTGTGTATAACTCAAGATCTTAGATTTTTAGCGATTGGTGTCATCGGTTAAACCGGCGATAACGCTAGTGTTTGATTCCTTCTCGGGTAATTCACTTGTTTATCTGATAGTTTTGTTTAGGCTTGTTTCCGTTATAGTTGTAGTAGGGTTAGCAAATCTATCTTGCTGTTGCGATCACTGCGTGAACGTTGCGAATAAACCAGACAAACAAATGTGAGACAAAGGACTCCTCCCTCAGAATTCATTTTGTTCTAGAGCCACGTGACCAGCGTTTTTCGGGGTCTCTCTCTCCCTCTCGCTCCGTAGGGCGGGTAGGAGAGAACCCTGGGAACGAAGTTGTAGGCATTGCAGTAACGTCCTTTTCTCTTTTTTGGAAATTAGAAATCTTGTAAAAAAGAAATTGTTCGTCCATGTAAGTTGAAAGTTTTGGATCATAAGGGGTAAATGAGCTTAGACGGAAAATACATCTTCCAATCGAAAATGTATATGTATTTAATTTCTTTCATTCCCCAGTTTCGGGGCCGAGTTGTTCAAAGCTCGTTTAAGATCATGAACCCAGGGTTAGCGCGAGATTTGAATTCAGTTTTGTAAGCTTAAAAAGCATTTCCGTTTAAATTCTTTTTGTCAACAAGTTGATGATTGGAAGCTCTAAAAATAACAGAGAAAATTGTCCGAGAAAATTCTTTTGAACACAAGAAAGAGAAAACCGGGTTAGATTTAATCCCGCGTTAAGCGCTAATCGGCCTTGGAACAACTGGGCCCTGGACTTTATCTTTTAAACGGTTTTGATTCTTATTATCGATGGCCTGACAGTGAAAACCAGCAAATCACCTAAAGGGACGTCGCCTCTTCTCTTTTCTCATTTGATGTGTTGGAAGGAGCAGACGAAAATTGCAAAATAACGCTCTTCCACGATCGCATTCCGAAGAAATCGCATTCAGGAGGAGTACCTATGAAACATAAATGCTGGGATAGAGTTGGCCTCACTTAATTTAAAGAACAGTGTTTCTGGGATCAGCAAGGATCCTCCGAAGAGGCCTTGGAGACGGCTTGTTGCTACTAAAGTGGTTTTCAATAGGCCACAGACTGGGCAAAGTAAATGTGAAAATTAAACTTGATAAAATACAAAAAAAAACTAAAAACCCTTATATTAAAATGGGATGACCAACAACCTCGTTCCCAGGGTTCTGACGAAATGAATAATGAAAGACGGAAAACTTCTAAACATTGGTGTCATTGGTTTCAGTGTTAAAAGTGATATATATATATCTGTGATGCTGAAACAGTCGGTCTTTCAAAAACAACACTACGTAGGCTTCAGATTTATTATTAATGAAGTGCATTATGAATTGAAAATCATTTCGTTAACAGCTCTCTGAAAATGGCGGTTCTGTAGTGTCACAGGAGTTAAATACAACAAAGTATATCTATATAAAATAACAGTCCCGAAGTATAAAATTGCCAAGTCAACACCCAAAAGATAGGACTAAAGAAATGGAAAAACGTTCAAGGAGGTGGCAATCTTAGATAACGCAAAAGATTCCTTCAATCTGACAATTAATTTTTACATTTATATCAGTTTTGTTTATATACTTGCTTAGTTACCCACAACGCCTTCTTTTATTCGAATTCAATTCAAAACCCTAAGATTGGTATGTGTAATTAGCTCTTTAATAAAGCCTTTGTGCAGTTTTTATGCCGCTCGATTGAATTAATCTTAAAGTAAATAATCTTTGCTGTATCTTCTTTCCTGTGGCTCTTAATTTAAGTTCGTCAATTCTTTTATCCTTGTTTGATTATGAATTGTCTACCAAGACACAAAAACCTTGCTTTATTCTAAAAGAGAGCTAATTGCGATAATATAAACTATAAGTTAAATCATGTTGTCATGTTTTGTTTTGGTTTGCAATCGATCGCGCGCTTTGAATGAAACATCAGCACGAACGCGCCGTTCTTCAACACACATAGGTTGGAGGCTGAGTAAAATTTTCCTGAAACTTTTAACTCTCAGCAGGAAAAAAATAAAAACGTTATTCACCGGCCCAGGACGGTCCGTATTGGGAGAAAATGTGCCCTCGGTCTTACGTCCGAAGGCGGTACTCAAGACCTCGGGCACAGTTTTGTTTATTGTTGACATAGTAATTTCGATTTTACTAAAACCGACATTTTGACAAATTTCAATCTATAGTCATATAATCACAGGTGAAAATTTTATAACGGTCACACAAGGATAAAATCACTTTAAAAGCGATTGTGAAAAATATCGGTATGGCTTCTGAAAAACCGTTTATCGAAACACCTTTTATTGGTATACCAAATGAAACCTGTCTATGCAAAGTACTATTTAGTGTCTGGTCCGATGATCGCCTTGTGCGTGAATCTCGAGTTTTGATGTGTTGGAAGGAGCAGACGAAAATTGCAAAATAACGCTCTTCCACGATCGCATTCCGAAGAAATCGCATTCAGGAGGAGTACCTATGAAACATAAATGCTGGGATAGAGTTGGCCTCACTTAATTTAAAGAACAGTGTTTCTGGGATCAGCAAGGATCCTCCGAAGAGGCCTTGGAGACGGCTTGTTGCTACTAAAGTGGTTTTCAATAGGCCACAGACTGGGCAAAGTAAATGTGAAAATTAAACTTGATAAAATACAAAAAAAGAAACAACTAAAAACCCTTATATTAAAATGGGATGACTAAATGAATAATGAAAGGCGGATAACTTCTAAACATTGGTGTCATTGGTTTCAGTGTTAAAAGTGATAAAAATATCTGTGATGATGAAACAGTCGGTCTTTCAAAAACAACACTAGGCTTCAGATTTATTATTAATGGAGTGCATTATGAATTGAAAATCTTTTCGTTAACAGCTCTGTGAAAATGGCGTTTCTGTAGTGTCATAGAAGTTAAATACAACAAAGTATATAAAGAAAAAAACAGTTGTGAAGTATAAAGTTGCCAAGTCAACACCCAAAAGTTAGGACTAAAGAAATGGGAAAACGCTCAAGGATGTGGCAATCTTAGATAACGCAAAAGATTCCTTCAATCTGACAATTAATTTTTATACTTATATTTTTTGTTTATATACTTGCTTAGTTACCCACATCGCCTTCTTTTATTCGAGTTCAATTCAAAACCCTAAGATTGGTATGTGTAATTAGCTCTTTTTGTAAAGGCTTTGTGCTGTTTTTATGCCGCTAGATTGAATTAATCTTAAAGTAAATAAGCTTTGCTGTATCTTCTTTCCTGTGGCTCTTAATTTAAGTTCGTCAATTCTTTTATCCTTGTTTGATTATGAATTGTCTACCAAGACACAAAAACCTTGCTTTATTCTAAAAGAGAGCTAATTGCGATAATATAAACTATAAGTTAAATCATGTTGTCATGTTTTGTTTTGGTTTGCAATCGATCGCGCGCTTTGAATGAAACATCAGCACGAACGCGCCGTTCTTCAACACACATAGGTTGGAGGCTGAGTAAAATTTTCCTGAAACTTTTAACTCTCAGCAGGAAAAAAATAAAAACGTTATTCACCGGCCCAGGACGGTCCGTATTGGGAGAAAATGTGCCCTCGGTCTTACGTCCGAAGGCGGTACTCAAGACCTCGGGCACAGTTTTGTTTATTGTTGACATAGTAATTTCGATTTTACTAAAACCGACATTTTGACAAATTTCAATCTATAGTCATATAATCACAGGTGAAAATTTTATAACGGTCACACAAGGATAAAATCACTTTAAAAGCGATTGTGAAAAATATCGGTATGGCTTCTGAAAAACCGTTTATCGAAACACCTTTTATTGGTATACCAAATGAAACCTGTCTATGCAAAGTATTATTTAGTGTCTGGTCCGATGATCGCCTAGTGCGTGAATCTCGAGTAAAAGCTTTTCACCTCTGCATATGTAGTTTACTCCATGGGAAAATGAATTGGTCTTGACATCTTTTGTTACATCACTTATTCGTTTATAAACAAATTGTGGG